CTGTGGACCACTTAGCTCACATTATGGAGTTTAAATTTACCCTACAGATTAACTTGGAGCCTCTGAAGTGGCTTGAGCAAATAAGTAGGTAAAATGTCCATTTTGGAAAGGTTACTTTGGCTGCTGTATGGATAAGAGAATGGGAGGCACAGGATGGGAGACCAATTAGGAGCCTGTTCCAGCCATCTCGGTGGGAAGAGACGGTGGTGTCATGGACTGGGAAAGAGGAAGAGGGGCTAGCAAAGAAGCAGCAAACATTTATGGCAAACTGAGAGATGGAGAAGCTGAGGACGGTTTCCACATTTCTCCCCTGTGGCTCCAAGTCTATAGTGAGACCATTCCTGACTCCTGGAGAAAGCAAGGATGGTGAAGGGACTTCTAAAGATGCTCACAACCTACTAGCTATGTTGGAGCAGACTAAGACCATATAAAAAAGATACGCAATGATCTATAGAAACAGGAGGGCAAGTGGGGAAAATCTCTGAAATAGGATGCTGAGCACACTACTGAGGAGAGAGCAGTAAGTGGAAGCTGAAACCCAAGTGGCGACCAGAAAGAAACAGAATTGAACATGGGAGACCTAGCAGTCTAAGTCGTTCTCATCTACCCAGTAAGGCTATGTAGAGGTAAAATGGATCAGGTCTTAGTCTGCATGATTTAACCAAGTGTTCCCCAGGACTGCACCATCTTTCCCATGAAGACTGACACCCATTCCTCTCACCAGGAGGAATGGTGAGGCCAGCAGGAATCCTCTCTAGAAATGGCAAGAATGGGCCCATTGTGGGGCAGAGGGCAAGAATGGCAGGTGCTTATGGTTTTACAGTTTCTTTCCCCCCAACCTTAATTTCCCTAGGAAGAAACTAAGTATGTTGGAAGTACCTTTTGGGCCCCTCATTTCTGAAAATTAGAATCCAGCTTAGTTCCTATATCTGGGCTGGAGACTGATACCTTAAAATGCAAGCAGTTTTCCCCACAACCAGCCTGTGGGCTCTGGATGTGGTGTCACATGTGAAAAAAATAGCTCTCTACAGGCTGTTATCTTTTGTTATTTTTTTCCTCTGGAATATATCAATCTCCAGGCCAACTGTGCCAGACTCTCTTTCCAAGGACCACTTGGATGAGGACATGCTGAGTGAATAGGGTCTATAACAGAGCACCTCCTATCTCCATTTCTGTTTTCTGATCTCTACTAATGCCAGTGGCTCCCTGCTTGTAGACTCGTCCTTGAGTGAGAGATTCACTCTTTTAAGATTCCAGTGCCTGATTCCACCAGACATCCACTGCCTGTGAACTTTGAGAAGCCTGTGGGAACTTCAACAGTCCTGTGAAGATACAAATTACCTGCACATCTGTCTGGGTTTAGTTAAACACGACTAATTTATCTTGTGGTGTGTGATTTCCTTTGCAAGTTGACCTGGCAGTTTTCTCTGCTCAGAGAATATTTAGAATAGATGGTGTGCATATCAATAGAGAAAAAACAGATGAAATTAATTTTTCAAATGTGAGATCGTCTATAGAGCCTACATGTTATTCCCTTCAGAAAGTTACACCATTTGCTTTCTTGTTTAGAGCAGGGGAGTGTCAGAAAAGTGCAGGTTCAATACCCTAGAGCCCGAGACTTGGGGCAAGTGTGTTAGTGAGTTTATTTCTGGGATAAGATTTAGTATTGGGGCAGTATAAGGAATCTCTGTCTTGAGCAACAGCTCCTTCCCCTAGTATTTGTGAACTTAGCTTAGCACGGAATGATAGATCTAGGCTGGCAGGGACTTATCATCATCGTCACCCATCTTAAAATGCTGAAGGCAAGGAGAGGCACAGATTTGTATATCAGGATGCAATGGTCACTCTCCAGAAAGTTGGAAATTCTCTTCACCGAAGCGTATGCAGTGCAGCATTCTGCTGTGATGGAAATAATCTCTATCTGTGCTCTCCAGTGTGCAAGCAACTGGGCAAATGTGGCTACTCAGCATGTGTAATGGGACATGCAATTGAGGAACTGAATCTGATTTATATTTGGCTCATGGCAACTCATTAGGTCCATCTTCACCTTTTCCACAAGTAACCATCTTCAGCTTTTTCTTAGGTAGGCAGACAAAGCCAGGGCTGCTTGGGTGCATTTGTCTTACTGATTTTCTGAATTCTGTGATGCTTGCACTAAGGTTACTTGTAAGTGCTCAATTTAAGAAGAGTAATTGTCATAATAGAAACCATAGTGGGTGCATCCCTGAGTAATTACTGTGTACTTTGCTAAGAACTTTGCACACTTTGTCTGAATTGTGGTTGCTTAATGATGCCATTATCCTGAGTTCACAGGTGAGGAGTTAAGGGACCAAGAGATTAATGACTGCTGTGTGGTCACCCATCCAGTGATTGGCTAAAGCTAAGATTCATTCCAAATAGTGTGACTCCATACTTGTTACATCTGCTGCCAATCAAGACATTTTTCAGTGCCACTTCCTGGTGACTATTTAAAAACTGTCATATCTTGGTGGTTAAAAGCAATGCAGTGTCTTGAGGTCATTAACATATTGGGTATAAACACTGGCCACACATTCACTCTGAGCTTTGTAGAGTTCAAAGTCTGGATCCTAGCTCTAATTAAGGCAACAGTTAGATACAGCAGCACTCAAGTTGCACAGTTCAGCATGGGCCTGGTCACCTCTCCTGTACGTCAGAGGATGGAGTGCGATCTCTCCTGCCTGGGGTTTAGAAAGCTGGGTCTTCCACTGAGCACCAGACCAAAGAAGGATAGGCTTGATGGACATGCAGATAGTGGATAATAAAAACAAGGAGAATATCTGTGTTGTACTCTTCTCCTAGAGACCACTGACCCTGGCCTCTGTGAGGCAAACAGATACGGCTGGATTGCTTCGGTTCTATCAGGGCTTGTGCTGTGTGGCAGCTGGATTGGAGTTTGTGGACTTCTCCATCATTGCCACTGTGCCCTCCCTTGTCTGAGTGCCCTGGTGGGCTTGAATCCACAGCTTTATCCCCTCAGCTCCAGGAGACATTCAGAACTTGGCTTTGCATCCTAGCAGCGCATTGCTCAACTTCTTAGCCATTTGTCTCTGTAGCTTTAGAATTTGGGAAAAAGCGACCTTTGTGTTATTCATTTCCTTATACCTTTGTTATTCTTTGGGAGTTTTGTCTCTTCTCTCTCTGCTTGTGTCGCTAATAGGAGGGTGCACTAACTGGAGGTTGAGACAGTAGTATTTGCCAACTACATTTTTATATGTTTTATATATATGTCACACATCAAACATGTTAATTCATACCTGCCAGTTGCCACTCCCTGTACCTGCACAAGTCCGAGAAGCGTGACTTGTTTCTCCTTTCCTGATGATTGCGGTGTTCAATTTCTGGTTGCCTCCGCATTGATCTGGGGGTGCACTCCAGGCAGGTGTCCAATGTCTTGTCTGGCAGAGTGTCGGGCTGTCTTGGATGTCCGAGTGGGATGAGTTGGTCTTCTGCGCTGTCTCTTCTATATTATTCTAGCTTGGGGTATGTGGCACTGGTTTGGTTTATCACTTCACACATATTGTGGGGTTACATACATCATAAGGTGTTGTAGGGTGTCACAGGCATTAAAGGATGTCTCTCATAGAATCTGTTTGATTAGCTATCACCCTTCACTCTTGGGGGTTACACATCAGGTTTCGCACATTGAATCTGTTGGATCAGATATCCTTTTCTTCACTCTCTACTCTTGGGAACACACTGACATTGTATTCTACATTGGGAACAGCTTGACATTGCTTTCTACATTCTTCACATTGACATATGCTCTCTACAGTTTGCTCAGGTCACAAAGGGTACTGTTGGTTTTTCTGTGTCTTAATAGTATCCCACTGTCTGGGAAGTCAGCTCTTTTCTCTGCCTCCTTTTCCCTCCTTTGGGATCTCTCCTCTTAAGTCTTACCTAGCCTTCCAGAAGACTGTCAGATTGTTCATTCACCTCCTCACCTGCCTGCCCACCCATGAATCTAAATTTCTCATCCTCAGGAGAATACATCTGCCTCAACTACTCTTCTATACCCTCTTCAATGAACCAGATAGTAATGGATGGACTGAGAAAAAAAAAAAAACTCCCATGGAGAAGGCATTCCTCTGTTAATGGTGGAAAATCAGAATGAGTCCCTAGGAAGTCTGATGATGGAACAGGCCAAATCCAAAAATCCAAACAACAAAACCGGGAGTCTACTGGTCCTGGGATCTTTTGGTGTCCTGGGCAGCCTCTCTCTAACAGCAGTGGCTATCCATGGGGGTTAAATCTCTTGGCATGAGTATAATGGAAAATGTAATTTTCTCTAGCAAAACTGCAGCAGCAAATCTTATGTGGTTAGCAAAAGGGACCCATGTTAGTACAACTGTGTGACCTGTGCAGCTTGCTTTAACAGTTGGGAGGCAGTCCAGGTTCCACTATCAGTGGCACTGCTTATCTTGGGAATCTAGATTCTTTCTGTTCCACCCTGTTCTTGATGGTGGCATCCTTAGAAGCACTTTCAATTATTGGCAGGAGCCAATCATCTCATAATTCAGGAAAAATAATTTCATAATTATAGTCTGGCTATAGCTATCTAAGGCCCCATGTTACTTTGCCTGAGAGCTGGCTATGGCATTTAGCAACATAACTCTGGTTTGCCTCCAGTCACAAGTTGAGATCCTCATGACCTAAGATCCTCCTCAGCATAAGTCATCCGATGCTCCCTCCAATTATTGTGTGTGCCCAGTAAATAATGGCTAAGAGTATCTTTGTCTTTGCCCACTCTGAGGCACTGACCTCCTGGCCCCCCATGTAGTTTGAAATTATGAGTCTCTATTGTCTGTCTGTCTTCAGTCCTCCCCATCCTCCTTTCTAGGAAGTTGGAGAATTGGTCACCTTCCAATAAGTTGTACCATGGTTGGCCAGGGAGATTTGCTTTGAATGACTTTGCCAATAACTTCATACATTCAGCGTACAAAGCCCAGGGATTCACCTGTGTCCTGTTTGCTTTTCTCCAGCCTGCACAGACAAGGAGTTGAGGAACCTTGCTTCCCGGCTGAAAGACTGGTTTGGAGCTCTTCATGAGGATGCAAACAGGGTCATCAAACCCACCAGCTCTGACACAGCCCAAGGCAGTAAGACTACTCTATTTTTGCTAATGTATTTCACTATAAATATCGCATTTCTTGAATTAGTAGACAGTATTGATTTAGTAATAGCATTTGGAGGTTAAAAAAGAAACACTACATTAAAATATGTTCCAATTTAAAAATATATTAACATATGGCAGAGGGGATGATGCTTCAGAATCAAGGAAAATTACAACATATTTTTGTAACTGATTACCAAAATATGTTTAATATTTACATTTTAGAAAATATATTAAATTTATAGAAAACTATGAAATTCCATCATTTTAACAACTCTAAGCACGCTATGGTATATACTTTGAGGAATTTTCTTCATCATAGATGAAAATACATTTGCATTCATCTATGATTATAAAATTTGGGTCACATTTTACTGTTTTATAATCTTATTTATCCTGTAACTATACTCTCCTGTGGTTGAGCAGTATTCTGCTTTGCAATATCTACATAGAATCCTAGTGTGTGTATATAACTACGTGAGTAGATCTACTTTTAGGGATCATTTATGTTGTTGCTAAGGTATAGTGATATTAAAAACACTGCAGCAAACATCTTTGATGGAGTATCTTTGTGCATACTATCTAGACTGCATCTTGTCTTCCCTAGCAAGTCCTGACCACTTCCCCACATGGAGCCACCTCTGAGAGGTACAGGTACCACTCAGCTCTGGAGTGAGCAGAGTTCTCTCTTATCAGCAGCTGGTGAGAAGGCTTGGAGTGGGTCTTGCACTTGCACTTTGATGGGGACTCTCCAGGCATTCATCAAAGATGCTTAGCAATGGGCTTTTCCACCTTGTAGCCAATATGCCGAGAACCAATTACTAATCCTCACAATCACTTAAATACATGTAGTTTTGCCACAAACTCTTCATTGTAGCAATTTCATGTTATGTGGCTGAAATATAAAACCTCATTGTTTAAAGCAAAGTGTTTTGCACTATTCCTGATGCCACACTGTGTTTGGAGTTTCTGCAAGGAGTTATCAGAAATTGCATCATCAACATCAGAATTCAGTATGACCAGTATAAACATGATCTCTAACCAGGTACAGTGGTATATTCTTATAATCCCAGCTATTGGGGAAGCTGAGGCAGGAAGATAGCTTGAGGCCAGCCTGGACGACACAGTGAGATAAAAACAAAAGAAAACGAAAGTCTCTACTCTTTGGTTGCTATTTGCTGCTCCTAGCTATTGAGAGATACCAGTGGAGAATACTGATATAGGGGACAATTATTTTAATTGCTTCGATCTTTTAAAAAATGGGGAGAAAGGGATAGGGAGAATTAAAGTGTGTTATGTGCCTATACCAAGTCTGCATGATGAATATAATTATATGTACTGCAAAGACGTAGTGATAAAAATTAAAATAAATTTTTAAAAATGAAAGCAAATACTGAAGTGGAGGGAGGTGTGCAAACAATAGTGATTATTTAAAGTGTTCTTAGTGATGGTGTCTGTTGGAAAGGTGGAGCAAGATAGTTTCTTTGTTTTCCATTCTTGCCAGAGATTCCTTGGGAGTTTGTGGACAATTAATTCACAGAGGGTCTAGAAACTTTTCGTATGGCTCCTCAAGGAGCAGACTGGCCTTTGAGTTTTCTGAATAGCCTTTCAAAAGAGGGCAGATTGACGGAAGGGGAGCAGCTCCTTGCAGCCTGCAGTCCCCTGAGGCTCTTCCTGCAGACATCTGGGGAGCCTGCAAATGGCTTGTTTGGCCAGGAGCAAATTGAGTCCCTAAAGAGGCTTTTGGTTTGATGTCCTAAAGCAACCGGAGAGAAGGCAATAGAAGGAATGATGCTTAGTGAGTCCACAAGGCCAAAAGAGTAAAGACAATTTCTTTAGTCTAGAGTTCTGAAAGGAAGAGCTGAAACCACACTCAGCCTTGCATACTGAAGGCCGCCTAATCCCTCTGCCCTGGCAGTCAGACACCCTGTTCTGGAACCTTTTGAATGGAGGCACAGTGCTCTCAACCTTATGACTGCTGTCCAACTAGCTCGGCACTTCTTTGTGGTTATGATAGCAGTAAACTCCTTTTTGTAATATACGAAAGTGTTAGTGTCATATAAAATTGATTCAAATTATATAGTCTATACCCAAGTATACAGGAATGTACTGTCAGAATAAACTGTCCTTCAGTAGCTCCCAAAGCTCAGCACAGAGACTGTGGACAGTTATGACATTCAAAGAAAGAGCCACGTTATATCCCAGAACCCCTTAGAATATGGGGGACTTTTTAAGAGATGTGTGCTAAAGTATCAAGATGAATAAATTTTAAAATTCAAATATCTTAGGAAATTTTAACTAGAAAACGTCTCCCAACAAATATATTCACTGATACTACGTGGCTGTCCTGGCTGAGGCTACTGCAGTACACAAAGAAGTCTGTTTGCAGGAAACTTAGTCTTACTAACAGCATCGGCAATGATGAAAGCACAGGGTTCTATTGAGAGCTCAGTGGAGGAGGTGCTGAGTTCACTGAGTTGCCTCTGAACAGTGAAGTCCTTTCTAGGTAAAAGTACTACTTCAGGCAGGTGGGCACACCTTGCTGTCTCTTAGTTATTGCTGATTACACAGGGATTCTGGCAGCAAACACAGAACCCTAATGGCTAGGTTGTACAAAGGATCTACTGGAGTGGGCCATCAACCCCATCAGTACTGCCCAGGGCCATTCCTGTATTTCTCTTTCTCTCTCTATTGCCTTCCCTTGACACAGATGCACAGCCAACTCCATGTCGTCAGCATGGGAAGATCCACTGAGGTAGAAGGACCCTTGTGAGAAGTGGCACCGAGAGCACAGACTCAGAACTGGGCTCTCTGGGTTTGAATCCCAGATCTATAGTTGTGTGACCTTGAACAAGTGACTCAAGCTCTAAGCTTTATTGTCAGATCTATAAAGTAGACATGATATGGTACCATTTGGTAGGACTGCTGCAAGGATTTAATGAGATAATTAAAAATAAACCCCTTAGAAGGATGCTTTAGTTGTAGCAACACAGGAGTTAACTTCTATCATTAGTAGGCCAGGAAAATCAGTCTTAGAAATCTGGTTTACAGAGTCACCCAAGATTATACCATGCTGTTGACTCTGAAAAAAAAAGGTGAGCTTTTGATTTGGGGCATGCCTTCTCTGGGTTTGCACTGTGATCTCACTATCTCTGGTGTAGAGATAAGTGTTATTACTGAAATACATAGTTTCTATTTTGGAATGAAATAACTCTTTAAAAAAATGATTTCCCCTCCCATGGGGAAATACGAGAGAAATTACTGTCTCAGTTCATTTGGATTCCATCTCATGTATCTCTTCAGGGGATTACAGAGAAGAAGGATGGGGACAGAAGCAGTACCTGGCTTGTTTTGCCATTAATGTTCACACTGTTTGGATTGAACAGTCCTCTGGGATATAAACAGTACTTCTGGATTATGCTGCATGCTTTTACTTCAGTGGTGTCTTTTATGCATCCTATTGTGGGTTTTTTTTGCTTTTGTTTTTATTTTCCCCCTAAGTATAAAAGCATAGTTCTCAGGATAACTTACATCTCTTATTCACCATGCTGTATTTTTTCCTTTTAAGCAAGTTTAGTCAATGAGACCTTATTCACATCACAGAAATGTGAGCACTAGGGATTTGTTCCCTTCAGAACAAATTTTCCTCAAGCACTCCCTTCTGTTTTATGCATTTTAATATGCTTAATAAACAGGAAAATACTCTGGAATGCCACTGATCCAGGCAAGGCAATAGGGGAAGGGGTGTCTTCTTGGGTCAGGAAGCTGGTGCGTGGCAGCGTGGCAAAGTCCAGAGTGGTGGTGGCTGAGATGTACTTTTTCCCCCACAGGGTTTGACACCAGCATCCTGCCCATCTGCAAGGACTCCCTGGGCTGGATGTTCAACAAGTTGGACATGAACTACGACCTCCTACTGGACCACTCAGAGATCAATGCAATTTACCTGGATAAATATGAGCCCTGCATCAAGCCTCTCTTCAACTCTTGTGACTCCTTCAAGGATGGCAAGCTCTCTAACAATGAGTGGTGCTATTGCTTTCAGAAACCTGGAGGTAAGGCCAGAACGAGATGGGATCCAGAGCCCAGCATAGGCGTGCTTTGCCTGGGAGGCCGACTTAGTACAAAACAAGGTGGCAAAAGTCATCAGCGCACAAAAAACATGGCTAAAGAATAAAGAATTCAACTCATTTAATGGTAGGCACACAGGTTCATTTGTCCTAATACACCTTTGCCTTTGAGAGGGTATGTTAGAAAACTAAGTTGTTCTTTCCTTTGGAAAAAATCTCCCAACCAAATAGTAGCTCAGTATTTTCATCTAGGAAGTGGGTATACAGAAACCTTCCCTGTATAACTCATTTTGAGATTCTCATTGTGAAAAATACTGTACAAATGTAAGTATAATAATTCCCATTGTCACACAATCTTTCCTTGTTTCCCTTAGAGAAAGCCACTTGTCGCCACTTGTCTATTCTTGATATAAATTCCAGTTAACCAAGAGATACTATTTGGAGGAATATATGAAAAGATAGCAAAGAACCTCCTCTAAACCAATGTCAGACAGGAGAGTCATCCTACAGAGATATTCAGACTAGGAACAGGAAGATTCTCAGGAGTCCAGTGGCCTGGGCACCATGGGTCTGATGGCTACAGACTATAGTCATCTGTCTCAGCTTCCTGGGAGTTGCGCTGAAGAGTGACAGTCCACAGTGCAAGGCACCAGCAGAAACTGATTTGCACTTGAAATCCAATCCCAGTACACAAAAATAATTTGGTCTTGCATGGGTCAAGTAACCAGGTGAAGGCTAGACTGGTACCCTCACCCATAAGAAAGAGGAAGATGGCTACTAATAGCATTTAAATTTTGCACATGTGCATAGATAATGCAGACATACAAAAATGTCAGCACTAAAAAAGGACAGGAAGTGAACAGTAAGTACATGTGTAAGTACATTTATAGCATTATAAGATAGTCTTAGAAACAGAATAACCAGTCAGAAAGCACATGCATCTTTAAATCTGAGCATTATCCCCAATTTGCCCTCTGAAGAAGTTGTACTAGTTTTCACTCTCACCAAAATTATCTGAGAACACGTATTTTTCCATGGCAATATGAAACTTCACAATCATTGCCTCAGAGACTTTATTTCTCTTATGTAGGTTGAACATTTTTACTTATCTTTGACACACTTAGATTTCTTTGAAATGTGTACATTCTTTGTATGTTTTTTTCTTATTGGACTCTGGTGTTTTTATAGTAGGAAATTCTGCATTAAGGAAATCAGACTTTCCCTAGTCATAGGTATCACAAATATTTTTCCTTCTTTAAACTTTGTACATCTGTTACTAGGGAGATATTTTAAATTTTAAGCAAACTGATGTCTTCATTTTTTAATGTTTTGGCTTATTTGAAGCTATAAAGCTTATATTGAGCTTAGAAAGGTATTTCTTGGTTTAGGTAGTAAAGTAATTTTCTTCAGTATCTGATTTTTATTGTTTATTTAAATTTTATATCACTGTAGGTTATTTTTTGTGTATATACACAATCAAGAAAGGTTTCAGCCCCTTTCCTCAGCCCTGGAAATGGTTATCCAATTGTCCTTCTGTCATTTATTGATAAGTTTATCTTCCTCCTGTCAATTTGAAATACCATCTGTAACCGCAAATGCACACCCCTGTGTACACCCACACATCTTACACATATTCCCAAATACTCTGTCCTATTCGTCTTAGTATTTGTAGACTATTTCCATACTATTTAAATCACAGTGGCTATATAGCATGCCTTAGTATCTGCTAGGCCCGTTCTTTCTTGCCATTACTCCATGTTTCTTCCTCTGAACTTTAATTCATTTTTCATTTTTTAAAATTAAAAATAAGTTCCTGCTAGCTATATAGCACTGAATTATTTTATCTTAGAATAGTATTTTTCTGTCAACCAGTAGTGTTACATTTTTAAGTTTTGTTCTCACCAAGATTGCATTTTCCTTGTTTGTTATTGGTACCACTGGAAATGTACTGTTTTCCATTATATTTCCTCTCTAGTGGTTGTTTCAATATTAATTTTGTTTTCCACTGCCTTACTAAATTTTCTTCTTGTTCATAAGCTCTTCTGGTTGGTTTACTTGGGTTTTCAGGTATGCAGTCATCATCTGCAAATAGTTTTACTTTTTCTTTTTTTATATATCATTTCTTTCTGTTTTCTAATTACATCATATAGTAACTATGAATTGATGCTAAATAATACCTATGTTTTGGGTTTTCTTTATAAACACTTGCAGTGATGCAGCATTAAGCTTAATGATAGCTTTAGGTTTGAATTCATCTAAAATTGTGTGATTTTTACTGGGTTTCTTAAAAGCACAGAGCCTGAATTTTAATGATGCATCTCTAGTGCAACACCCCGGTGAGGTGACACAGCTTTAATCAAGCCATGGAGCTGGGCACCTTGCTATGGGCGACCCTCAGTAGGGGTTGCCCTTTCTGCCACTGGTCTTGGAATCCAAGATTCTTTACCGGGACATGCTGAACAAATGCATTATATAACTAGTTTCTCTAATAGAACAAGCAGCAAGACCAGGTGGCATAGTGAAATCCACAGGGTAATAGGTACTTACTTTCTTCATATATACATATAGGGCCTATAGAAGGAGGCAGTATGAGCCAGTTGTCAGAACTGAGAGCAAAGGACACATTGCCAACATCAGGATGACCATGAGCAAATAGCAGAACCTCCCAGAGACCCAGACCTGCAAAGGCATGTCATAGTCAACCTCCAAAGAATTAGTGAAGACACTTTTCATTGTGTTTAGAATGGACACAAGTTCTTTTCTAAGGAGGCAAGAGTGCCATGTTCTTCCACACACCCCAGTTTTTAGCCATATGGCTCCCTGTAGCTATTTTTTGCTGGTTCATACAATTTACATCTTGTAACTGAGGGTGAGGGCTATGGCTGAGAGGGGTAAAGAGACTTACCACAGTGTTCAGTGAGGTGGTAATAAAATGTAGATAAAAACCATTCTTTTAATTGCAATCTGCATTGTGTCAGTGTCTCCAGAGCTCTTCTGTGTCTTCATGTGTTTAACGTTCTTAGGATAGTTCTAATCCTCTTTCTCTCCCGCTACAAAGACTTAAAATAAATCGAATAGTTGCCGCCTCTGGCTACTTTGTCTGTGGGTTCAGAATACATAACCCTTGCCCCCAGTTTCCAGTTTATAGAATCCTTAGATGGACACTTCTGCCTGATGGAAAGGAGGATGTCTGTTGCAAGTCACCTAATAGAACCTGGTGTCTGCTTAAGACAATGAGAGGAAGGAAAATTCCCATACAATGCAAGTAAACCCAAAATACTACTTTAAGTATTTGTGGTATGTGGTTATTTTTAAATTAGTAACAGTAATTGCCTGAATTTGCTTTGTTGCATATAACAGCATATGGAGCTGCTCCACTCCCAAGGGTGTCATTGACTTCAACTCATATCAAACAGGCAGTCAGTCATTAGAGATTACATCCCATACCATCTGGAAACTGACTTCCATAAATTATTTTTTAGGTCTCCCCTGCCAGAATGAAATGAACAGAATTCAAAAGCTGAGCAAGGGGAAAAGCCTGTTGGGTAAGTATAATTCCTTGCCATCCATTTAAATGACTAATGAAACCATCCACGTCTCTTGTAATGTTCAGCGCTCCAGTGGTTACTCAGTTAGGGCCAGTGTCTCATGAGAAAAAGCCTCCTTTTAGCCCAGGCCAAACTCTTGTAGACAGTTGGTAATATGCCACAGACAGCCACACATAAGCAAAGGATTGGCTATCTAGGTAACAACTACCACATGCCCCACCAGCAAGAAGAGAGGCCAGAGATTAGACCCAAATTCAGGAAGGGCTAGATTCCAGAACCATCTCTATTGTTAACTTTCTACTGATCGTAGACTTCTATAAACTCTAGCTTTCTCCTTTTATTAAAGCTATTCAATAGAATGAACACATATTCTTTCTCTTTATAGAAGTGTAAGACTATAGCTGAGAGCATTTCTCTAGTCCTCGGAGCAAGATGCCTATTCAAGGAGGAAGACAAGTGGTAACCTCCCCTCCTTCAGAAAAAAATTATCAGATAGTGTTGAAAGGCTTGTCTGAACTTTCTGGTACCTCTCGGTTTTCACCTCATCCCTAGAGGAAAGTGTTCTGGCTGTTGAGATGCTGCTCTTCTCTCCTCCTCCATTAGGACAGAAGCAAGTGAGGTGTGTTTCCTTGACATGCAAATTTGTGTCAAGGTAAAGATGACAAGCACCAGCCTGTCTGAGTATTCCCTCCTTGCTCTAGCACTCGGGGGAATGGTGGCTTTTAGACCAGGCCATTACTGAGACACTGGCAAACCTCATTTTCTGTAAAGAGTCTGCTTTGCTTTCCTTGCTTTTTTGAAAAGAGCTGACAGCTGCAGCACAATAACTCAGAATTATTCTTGTTAAGCATTCCGAGGCAGGTGCATTCCCTAAAGCACCCTGCCATTTCAGAAGTTTATCTATTTACTTGAAGGAAATGGGCAACTTTTCTTGCAGATTCTCAAGTGCAGGCAGTCTATGAATTCTGACAGTTTCTCTTCTGAATTTTTCGGTCACCTCAAAGTGCATACTCTTTCCTTTTACTTTTGAAATTACTTATTTTCCTGACTTGCCTCATACTTTTGACTTCTAACAATACCCTATTCAATTCAGAAGAGACTGGGAAATTATCATGATTTTCAACTCCCAAGGTCTAAGTTCTTCTGTATAATAAGAGATCATTTTAGCTGGAAGGTAAAGTGACTACATCCAGCCTCCACAGGTTTTTCCAGTACAAGGTCTTACAGTGACTGATCTTATTCCTCCATGTGGAATGCCGTTTTTGGGGGGAGTGACATACCTAAGGTCTACATGCTATTGAATTTGTACATTGCTTTAAAAATTGTTTCCATGGTATATGGGTATCTTGTAATTGCCTCATCAGTTAGTAATTAATTTGACACTTGTAAAGTATGTCTTCTGAGATGTTTCATTTTCCACTTGCTCCAGCACACAAATGAAATGCCTACCTTTTTCCTACCAGAATCCACCTTGTCTTTTCACATTTCCTACACATGGAGATTACTCTGGAAACTCATAAAAGTGCGATTTATTTGCTTACAAATTATTGTCTGCATGGGGAAATCTCTTAATATAATAACTGTATTCAGGGATATTCAGATTCAAATAAATAATAAAACAGGCAACAACAAATTATAATCAGTTATAATTACTACCTACTTAGAAAAGCAGTAATCTTATTAAATTACAGATTTAGTGCAGCACGTGCTTCTTACCAGCCCAGAGGCTCAGCCCAATTTTTATTTATTTTTGGTCTGTTAAATCCTGTTGTTTTTAAACCACAGCTCAAGGGATGAAATCAGTATTTTCCCTGCTCACTAGTTCTGTTTCTTTGTAGTACTTTATTGAGAATCTATTTACAAATTTCTCTGTCTCTTGGTCCTTGGGGCTATTGAAAGCATCTCCCTTTTCATTCCCTTCTGCCTCCTGAAAATGGCGATGAGGGACGATATACTGGGACTTGAGTGCCTAGGTAAGAGGGCAGGATCACAGAGCATCTGAGGTGCACCATGAAGCCTTTCCTAAGGGCTGTATGTGGTATTCAGTGTCGTCAGGGCCACTGTCCCATGCACAGTCTCATGTGACCCTTGGCAAGTTAGTGATCTTGGAATAGCCAGGTGAGTAGAGGATTTGAGAGTAGATTGCATTGGCAGGTAGATCTGGGTATAAATCTTGGTTCAAAATTCTAGAAATCTCTCCTCCTGTGCCACATTTTTCTTTCAAGTATCATCCCATAAAATAAAAGGTGAATTTGGAAACACTATCCTTCTAAAGACATGGGGGAAAAATAAGGGGATACAAAGCTACAGTGATAAGAGCCTCTACTTTTAGAAAGCTGATGTACAGGATATTATTACTCCAGTCAAGCTAAGAAGCAAACAAAAATGAATCATATTCACATACTTTGTAAGGAAAACCTACTGTTGAACAAGAATCAGATTCACTTCAGACTTTCTATTAGCAACACTAATTTAAAAAGGGAAAATTGAGGGCCAGGTATTTAGCTCAGTGGCGTGGTACCTGCCTGGCAAGTGCAAGGTCCTGAGTTCAATTTCTAGTACAAAATAATAATAATATAAATAAAAAGAAAACTGAACTCAGAATTTTAAACTTCCCCCAGCTATTGTTCAAGTGTGGTGGCAGAGGTACTCTCAATCCATCTAAGATTTAGATTACTAAAATATCAGTAAAGGATATACTTTACCAGATAAATGATCCCAGAATTATCCAGCTGCAACTGTGAAAAATACATACAGCTAAATGTAATGTGTATGACCTATAAGTATTTTGATAGCAAGTTAGAATTATATTTCCAGACTGTTGAGGGCAATCAGAAAAAGGTGGCAAAAATGTGTTTTGGGTTTATCCAGTAAGAAAAGAAAATACAGACTAGGATATATAGTTTTTCAATGCTCAAAAGAAACATATGAACAAAACTTTCCACAGAAGGCAAGAAATGGGGAAGATGATAAATAGAAAAAACAAATATGGTGGTAGAAGTAAGAGTAAGCAATCTATAATCACAATAAATGTGAATGGGCCAAATTTGTTTGTTATGAGATAGAAACAATGGACTGATAATTTTTAAAATAAGTCTCATCTAAAGTAGTTTTTAGAAAGCTGAAATTAAATGGTAACTATTCTTTTGTATAACAATGTTAATATCTGACAAATGCAAATCCTAAAAAATAAGATGATACAAGAGTGTCACCTATACAACAAAAGAAAACTCAACAAATTTCAAATAATCATATACCAAATTCCCTGACCACAACACAGTAATAATAGAATTAAAAAATGAGATTATCAAAGTTCCATATATGTTAGGGTTTTCTAAATACTGGTCAAATCTGAAGTACAGTAACTACAAAATATTTAAAATTTAATTGAAATGAAAGCACTGTGTATCAAATCTATGACAATAAGTAGAGTATATATATTTTATATAAAATTTCTCCATATGTTTCTTTTGTGCATTTAAAAATTATATATCCTATTTAGTCTGCATTTTCTTTTTTTACTGAATAAACTCAAAACACATTTTTAACACTTTTTTCTGATTGCCCCCAACAGTCTGGAATTGTAATTCTAGCTTGCTATCAAAATATTTTACAGGTCATACATATTTACATTCAGCAGCATTTACTTTAATAAAATATATAAATTCCAATACATTTTTGAAAAATAAAGATAAAAACTGAATTAACTAGATTTTCAACTCAAAAAATGAAAATATACAGTAAGCCAACATGACTAAGATGAAGCAGAGAACAATGGAATAAAAACACAATAGCATATCAAAGATTTTTTTCACAAACTAATACAACATAAACCCATGGCACTATGAGGTAAATGGTTCAAACACTGTCATGAATTTAAATGGGTGCGATATAAGCTGCTAGAGGGGACGAAGAGGGGACTAGTGTAGTTCAGGGTTCTCAGACATCAGTTTGGAAAGTTTATCAAAGTGGAGACCATTGGGCCCCAATCCCTAAGTTTCTGACTCAATGTTTTTCAGTGTTTTCAGTGGGGATATGAAATTTGCATTTCTAAGGGGTTTGCAAATTATGCTGCTAGTCCTTGGACCAAAGTATGAGAACACGTATTTTAAAGACGAGATGAAATGGATACTATCAGGTTTCAAGTTTAGGCCACAAACAGCACAATTGGTCAAAACTACAAAAAAAATTTTTCTGGGGGATACTGGGGAATGAACTCAGGACCTTGCCCTTGTGAGGGAGGTGGCAGAACCAAAAACTACAATATCAAAATGCTACTCTCAAACCCCAAACAGGTAACAAGCCCAGAATATTTTTTCCCCAGGATGGAGAGGGGAACAAACTCTTCAAGTAAAAGATCATTCTTATTTTATACAAAATGGCTAGAAAAAGATAGAAATAATAACTGAATCATTTAGTAAAATGTTTGTGAGAACACCTACAAATCCATCAGCAGTAATATTCCAGTAACAATGTATCGAGACCAAGAAGTGTCTACTTCATGAAAGCAGTTTTCTAATATTTTGTCACCAGTGATTAAGAGCATATAAAAGATAAAAAAAATTCTCAACCGTTAAGAATGAATTAGTAGTACCCATTTTTGGTTTAAAGGAAAAAAAATTCTAGTAAAGAAGGAATAGAAAGAATCCTGAGACAAATCTGAGAGTAGTGTAACTCTAGTTTCTCACTTTTTATCTGTAAACACCAATCCTCTTGCTGTTATTGAGATAAATAAATGGAATGCTGCAGGGAAAGCATTTGGCTATTATCAGTTTTCTTAGATAACAGTGACAGTGAACGGCTTTGAAAAGTGCTGTATGTATGGATTGTAGTTAATGAAATGCTTGTTAGGGTTCAGCAGTGAGTCAGAAATTGATACATTTAGAAACTTTTATAGCAATTTCACAGAGTCATTTTACGTGGCTAGGCCAATTGTTAACCACTGGAAGCTGAACAAAAACAAGTTCTTTCTGGTGAGAGTTTGAGAAGCACTGCTTTGGATTCAGTCAATGATGGGAGGTAGACTTGGTGTTTATTTGTAGGTGCCTTGGGCAGATGACTTAATTTTTTTTTCAGCTGTAATTGAGTTTATTGGTATATTTTAGGGATACAGTACAGTTACATTCATTGTTGGGATCTTGTACCTCTACATGACAGGTCTTGATTCTCATTTTTTCCCCTTACCCCTGCCCTCCCAGATGACTTAATTTTCCTGTACCTCACTCTCCTATTTATTAAAGGTAGCAATATTACTGTTAGGGCCATTTTAAGGCAAGGGAAATCTAACTAGTGATGACACAAGTCCCTCCCAGTGGTGTCACAAGCTTCCCCATCCCTGACCACTACATTACTCAACCCCACCCCGCTCCTATAAAAGTGTCTTTCTCTCCTCTTCGGAGACAACCTGGCAGCCCCTCCCCATAATAAAGGCTTGTTATGGTCCTGGTCTGGCCCTGGTTTTTGGCTTTTTTTACCTAACAATTACCTGTCTCTCAGACTTGGGGCAATCAGAAATTATATGATTATGTGCATGTTTTAGTTCAGCAGCCCAAATATACATGAATGTTTAACACATAGTAACTATTATTAAGCCCGTTTGAAAACTGAGCCCCTTCCAGTTCAATGCATTTGGGCTCCTAAATATTCAGGTCCTTATCATTTTAATGAAGTAATAATCAACTAGCCGCATTCTCTCCTGCCAGCCCTGTAGCAAACATTCAAACTGATGTGTGAGCTCTCCTCCCTGTCTTGAATAGTATTAACCCTGAGTATCTCTGTGCTTCTCTCATTAAAGTTGACCTCTTATTCCCCCAGGGGCTTTCATACCTCGGTGTAATGAAGAGGGCTATTACAAAGCTACTCAGTGCCATGGCAGCACAGGGCAGTGCTGGTGTGTGGATAAATATGGGAACGAGCTGGCTGGCTCCAGGAAACAGGGTGCTGTGAGCTGTGGTGAGTAAGGCCTGCTTCATCAGCCACACGCTGCCTCTGGAGATGCATTAGTCCTCACTCTGTAAGGATCGCGGCAGGTATTGAGAGGTAGCCCTGTTTTACCGTGAGTTTACAGTGGAGATGCAGGAACCCTAAATTACGTGAGCTCATGTATGGCATAGCGTAGCACAGGATAACTCTGCAGGTGGCAGGAACTCACCATGACAAACAGGGTTAGATAAGATTTTTTTAAGAGTTAGGAAACTACTGTATGTATAGGACATTTTAAGCTGCTGTCACCTTTCACTTAGGATTATAAAGCTCCTGAGAAGTTTGCAGCACTCCAGCATTCTAGAGTTTATGCCAAAATAGTCTGTAGTCCTTGCCATAGAGACTGATTCCAGATGGGCGGGCAGGCATGCTCCGAAATTCAGAAAGTAAATTCTATGGTTTTGCCCCACAAGTTGCCCTGAAAGTCAACCAGGCAAAGGGAAGCCACCAACAGAGGCCGTGATGTAGAAACAGAAACTAACCTTCAGCCTTTTTTTTTTCTTGTGCCAGAAGAGGAGCAGGAAACCTCAGGGGATTTTGGCAGTGGTGGCTCTGTGGTCCTCCTGGATGACCTAGAGGATGAACAGGAGCTGGGACCAAAGGGCAAAGAGGGGAAGCTGAAGGTGCACACTCGGTCTGTGACAGAGGATGACGAGGATGAGGATGATGACAAAGATGACGAGGTCGGGTACATATGGTAGTGCCCACAAGGAAGAGGACACACATTTTGCACACAATTGCAAGTCACTTCCTATTCCTACATTTGTATCTAAGACTCCAAGGCACCAACGTCTCTTCTCCATTGTTGCTCTCTGTACCCAACTGAAGGTTTGGAAGACAACTGCTTGTCCCAGAGTACTTCTGATTTTGCATAGGGTTGTGTGGGAGAAAGGGTGTTGTTTTGGGTTATTTTCTATTTGTTATTTTTTGGACAAGAGAATGGCTGGTTTAAATAGACCCTCCTTCTTCCTGTGAGAGTTTTGCAAAAAGCATGTGATTTATGTGGAATCCAACAGTGCAGGGAGCCCCCACCCTTGTAAACGTCAAAGACCCTTTCCGATTACCCACATTGGTGGTTATTACAGCATGGTTCCCAGCCTTACAGTGTCTAAGTGCTTTTCTTGTGTCCTGTAGATGTTGTGGAAAACACACCACACTGTACCTTTTCCTCCTGCCCCAACCACCCCTGGTGTTTATTATTAAAAATTAATTTTCATATCACTATATCTGGCTTCCTATAAATAACAGCCTTAATTCAGTCCCTTTGGGGAATTCACTTATTTTAAAAAATCAGTGTTTGGATGCTTCTTTCTGCACATGCCAAGTATGTACATATGTACAAAAGAGACAGTGTGCATTGCCTCAAACATACATTTTTCAAAAAAAAAAGTGTCTGGCTATCTATTAAAAATTCATTTTGAAAAATAATTTCAAATTTGTCAGCTTTTCCAGACCTGGAATACAATATCTGAAATAAGGAATTTGTATGAAAGTCCCATTTTGTACTAACAGTTGGCACTTGTAGCCTGCAGGCTGAGGAGGTTTCTTCTCTATGCATTAGCAGTTACTGGAAGCTTCTTTGCTTTGGATAAGCCTCCGTTTGCCTAAATCATTTTTCTCACAGAAGCCATGTGATTCCCGCTTGGGCAGCTTCACAAGCCATTGCTCTCATTTCAGCTTGAAGCTCCACAGGCTGCAGCAGCCCTGTCTGCACAGGGTCCTCCCTTCCCTACCTACTCAAGGGCTTTTTGTAAGGCATGTGTGCACCCACCTGGTTCTCTGAGAAGACAGTACCATGGTATTCTTTAGAATACAAGTTGGGATTCTCAATGTTTTGATTTTGGCTCCTTTTTACCCACAAATCACAATAAGGATATAAAAGCTGTGTAGATTTTTTAAAAACTCACCTATACTTTGCAAAAAACAAAAAACAAAAAAAACAACAAAACCAAACAAAAAACAAAAACAAAAAAACGGAGGCCTAGAAGGAACTTCAGAGTAGCATATAGAAGCTAGGTTTGGGATTTAAGAGCCAGCCCCCCAGTCCCTCTACATACACAAAAGTCTAGAGATAAGCTGAAGAAAGCTTTTCACCACTATATTTCTTTTCCTAAATCTGGTTGGGTCATCATCTCCACATTCTTTAGAATTATCTCATACAAGTACCAAAGAGTAGTCTTCACAGTGGACCCATTCAGTTTAGTACTGGTCTGTAAACTCCTACCCTGTTCGTTTTGTACCATTTTAGTTGCCCCAGTCAACCACCCAAACCCCAGCTCTCAAGGCCACATCTCTCTCTTGCCTTCCCCATGAGCTTTATCCAAGTCCACAAGATAACCACATCAACTAGGCAAAGAAAAAAAAAATATATATCTTTTTTTTTTCTTCAGCCAAACCATGATCCCTGTGGTAGATGACTAAACCCCACACCAAACTGACCATTTCTATGCTGTAACTCACTTTAAATTAGCATTCTCTAATCCTTGCATAGGCTGGATAAAGTGGCATTATACCTAGAGTTGGTCTTAGGTGGGAAGGGAATATACCCAGTTTCACTTTTCCTTTGATCTGATAGACAATATGTACACACACACACACACACACACACACACACACACACACTGTCCCTATATGCAGACCATAGGCAAGCTCTGCATTGGGATTTCAATCTCATCACCTCAGTTTCCATATTTTCCCCACTCAAATACAACTCTGAAAAAAATAATTTAGAAAACGGTTGTTAATTGCTGCTAATTTACAATAGCAAACATAAAAATGAAGACATATTAAAAAATCTCAGTTTGTATCATCAAGGAAAATATTGTTACTATGTCCTCTGCTCTTGGAAAAAATGCACAAGAGAACAAATTAAAATCGACAAATTGATTTCACTTAGAGAAACTTCTAGGAACGAAGTGAATCACTGATTTTAATTTGCCTAATTATCTTATGACAAGTGTCAAATTAAGATGACACTTAAAGATCCTTAGCATTAACTTAATGACGGAGAAGAGTGCTCAATAGGCAATTCCAAGGAAAGTAATGAGATGCCATTTTCAGATATTTTTCCAAGAAGATATTTTGATTCATTAAAATATTAAACAAAAAGTCCTCATAAGACTGGAACCTAAAATCAATGGAACAATATTAACATAAGTTTTCATGCCTCCCTTTGGCACAACACCATTAGGCCTTTAAAGATCTTTAGTACTTTTCGCTAGTATTTAGGCTTAAATTTTGAGTTACTTTATCCTTCTAAGTAGAATTTTTGTTTTCTTGTTTTTGGAAGGGGCCCTTTAGTTACAGTGACCAAGTATACATAAGGTATTGATTTTTTTAAAGAAAGAAAATAGTCTTGTAATAATCCAGTCCTTTGTTTGAGACAGGAATTGAGTCCAATCCTAACTCAATTTTGGAAATTCATTAGTGAATAGTTTCTTATCCTGTAACTGTTTCCTTAACACCGTTAGTGTGGCATCCAAGTTAAATCCAAGGATTTTCTTTCACCATGGGTATTTGTCTGCCATATGAATGCCCTTTTGTTTACAAATGTTCTAGGCATGGGAATACCTTATTACTACATTTGAGGTTTTATGCCACCTTCTCTTTCTTTATGCCCATTTCCCTACCCATAGCAGCAAATGATTTATCTGTCCCAGTCTACCCCTGTACTCTCCCCAGGATGCCATTCTCATTCGGTTTTGGGTTAGCTTGACCACACTGTACAGTAACATCCAAGAGCCCTTTCTACAGTGGGTGGTTTTGGTCTTTTTATACCTTTTTCTCAGTCACTGATGTTTGTCCCTGTTCAGTGTGTAGCCTTGTAATGAGAGCCCGTCGAATCCAGAGTGTCAATCCGTTGTCCCTATTGTAGATGAAATAATGATGTAGAAAAACTAGTATTCTGAATGCTTTTCCATGTAGATTTATCTGGAATGTGAACACAACTCTTTGGTTAATAGCAAATGCGTAATTGTAGTCCTGAGTAGGTGCATTTCTGTCTGTCTCAATAAATTTTACTTTGTCTGCAACACTGGAGTACTTGTATTTTGTAAGTGTGGATACGAAGTCACGGGGCCATCTCTCATACACAGTCACTGCAGGATAGTCTAGCAGCCGAAGAGGCCTGCCACCAAGCACCTCAGTCAAGAATGCCATACACAGGTGTCAATTTTCACCTGCTGGGGGCCAGTCCTGTCCTGGCATATACCCCTGTGCCTACGCAGAGCCAAACCACCTGACCTCTTTTTTAGCTGTTTCTCTCTCTCTCACAGTTTAGCTTTACTCCTTATCTACCAGATTTCATATTGCTATCCTATTTTTAACATTTAACATTCTAAACTCTGCTTATTTCTTTCATTTCCAGCTAGTGATTCTCTAATTCCCCTTAGGTGGGTAGGGAAGGATCTCTTACCGCTTTACAAGGACCTGACTTCTCCATCTGTGAATCAATACACCAGATGCTTGTCAAACACCAGGCAGCACCCAAATTGGGACACAACTATTTCCTTCCACCTTTAACCACATGAAAACCAGTCTAGGACTTAATTATACCCCAAGTGAGTAATTTCACCATTGAGCTGAAGTAGAAACCGCCTTATGAATAATTCCATTCTTTTACTCCATGGAGAAGATTTTATAGACAGTTTATAGATTGACAGTTCAAGAAAAGGTGCACCGTAAATCCACAAAGCAACTAATGTCAAAAGAACAATGGCCATTATGAAGCCTCCTGGGTAGTAAAGGGTCCATTAAAGAGTAGAAAGCATGTATGGACATATCCAGATTCCTCTGTAGTCAGCTGGGTTTTATGGGCAAATGCTCACGTTTCTTTTATAGTTGCACTTTCACAGATCCCACCTTGATTTTTCCAAGCCCAAACCAAAGGAAGACGACCAGGGAGACAGATCACCAACTTTATGTAACTGAGTAAAAAGGTCCTTAAGATGTTTGGGTCTAAGATTTATTTTGCTATCATGATTCAAAAGAAAGGGAGACTTAAGTATGTATCCTATTAGCCTTTCACTATTATTTGGTAGGTCTATAGATTATTTTGAGTGCATGAATGCACTGTGAGCAGACAAAATCCGCAGTTCTAGGAATATAAAAGTCAGACTCAATTTCTCTGAACAATTACTAGCTCCTTGAACAAAAGATGCAAATAATTATGACTGTTTAGGTTGAGGATGTCATCACTGACCGCAGTGGCTACTCAAGCTTCATTAAAGCTTCCCTTCCTTAGTTCCTTTTTTCCATCATTCCCTACATTTTCTCCTACCCCTTGGGGCACCCCTTCTAGGTGTCCTGAATATCATATTGTTCAACCAGGCCTATTAACCTATCTGCTTCTCAGATCTGTGCCCTGACTTTTTTTTTTTTTTTTTTGTACCAGGGATTGAATTGGGGACCTTGCACTTGCAAGGCAAGCAGTAGGATGACCCATTTCTTTTTAATTTTCCATGTTTTCTTTGGACAGTCTTCTGCCTCTAGTTTCAAACTTCCTCCAGTCTGAGGAATCCCAGTTTATACTTCCAGGGTATATTTTGACTCTACTCTATTTGAAATAATGACCTCCTGTTTAGATAATTCTACTTGAATTTCCCACTGACACCTTAATTTCAAGCCTTTAAAAATAAAAATGATAGAATACATAGTGAATTTGTCAATGGCAATGGGAGTCAGTAAGGCTTTAAGTCCTTGCATACATAAGCCATAAAGAAAAGAATGATAAATTTGCATTCATAAAAATTAATAACACATCATAAAAAGACCTAAAAAATAAACCAGAGACTGAAATAGAGATTGGTGACATAAAACAGATGAAGGATTAGGGTATAAAAATTTTTTAAACTCCTACAAATCCATAAGAAAAATACAGCCCAACAGACCAGTGGATAAAAGTTAAAAAAAAAACAAGCAATTCATAGGAAACAGACTTTTTTACTCTGCATAACTTACATATACTTAACAGCGCTTATGAAGTTAAGCTTAGTAAGATTAATAACTGATAACAACATAGAACAATGACTATGCTATAACAAAGCAAAAGATCTTACTTGCTATCTTCCCCCTTCTTGTGGTGTGAGATACAGTATCCATGTAATTATAGGAAATATGCTGACTGGTGGAGGCATTGTGATATATGGTTGGTCTCCTGTTGACTTTCCAAGAATGTCACAAAGGGGTTATCTGTTCCAGTGATGCTAGGTCAAGCCACAACAACGTTAATGGCTGGATATCATAACTGACAATGTCAGTGGCTGGGTATCCTTGACTGTTGAAGATTTTCTTGCCAGAAAACCCTCTGGGAAAACACTGTACTGGAAATTCTTGTCTCTTTTTAATTCATCAAGGTGTTGAAGTAGAGTTTGTAATCCTTCAGTGATCATATAGGTGTGTTTAATGTAAGTATCATAGACAATAATTTTGTCCTTTTACTTCTATGCAATTTGAAGCATGTGGGCATACTTCAGAAATGTGTGCATTGTTAGTTCTCTTTCATTTTCCTTTTCTTTTTTCCTCTATATTGGACTCCATGAGTTCTTTCAAGTTTCAAACTATACACAATTCTCAATGGCATTACATATATTCTTCTACTTCTTCATTAAGCATATCTGTAAATCCTTACCCACCAACCTGTCTTGATGTGTAAATGATTTTCCTAACTTTTCTATCATTTCTAGATATTCTTAATATCTAGGAATCCTTTAAAACCATTCATGGCTTAACTCTATGTTCCCTCAGCAGGAACTTATAGTTTCTTGTTTTCATTCATCCATTGTGGCTTTGATGAATATAATTGTGTCTGCAATTGTGAATGATTTCCAGAACTGTATTATGTCACAATTATGGTTTGAATCAATTACTGTTCAAATGTCATCAAATACCAGGTGTGGCCTTGACCAGTGGAATAATG